TTTTCATTGAAAAGTCTCCCGTTACAAGTTCAAATTGCTATAATACTATAAAAACTGCTTCAACACTAATCAAACTTGGCACAAATGTTGACTGGACCATTGCCCTTGCAACAACATGCTCAGGCTTAAATTTTCTGTTACCATGGCAACGAGGGGACATCTCAAAATTGCCAAAAATCACTATTTTGCGTTGATTTTTTCCATCATAATTGATTTCAAAGTGCTGCAACTTCTCAATGGATTGAGATAGAGTCAAATGCTTTTCAGCGTTGGTTACACGTTACCTTATGATCAATCTGAGGTCATTTATAGCCTCTCACAAGTCCAAAATTTTCTTGGCGATGAGGGGGACTCCGACCCCCTTCAAACCCCCCCAAACAGAAGGGGGCACATCCCCCTTCTGGCAACCCCCTGATGTATCTTTTGGTTGGGGGCCGCGCCGAAAAAGTGGTCACTTTTTTAACAACATTTCTCAAACGAAAACAAGTGTTGGGGGCCTAAATAAGGCATTTTTTCACCATTTGAGACAAGAAAAAAGGGGGGGTGAAAAAGGCGTTAAAAGGCGTGTATATGAAGTAATGGGTTAACAGAAAATGATGAAAATACTTGAAATTACCCTAAATCGCGTTTTTCCATGTTTAAACATGGCCTGTCATATAAATTTGAAGAAAAATTGTTGTTTTGTAGATTTTTTTATTTTTTTCATTAACCCATTACTTCATGAGCATTTTGTGAAAAATGGCTGTTTTCATTGAAAAGTCTCCCGTTACAAGTTCAAATTGCTATAATACTATAAAAACTGCTTCAACACTAATCAAACTTGGCACAAATGTTGACTGGACCATTGCCCTTTCAACAACATGCTCAGGCTTAAATTTTCTGTTACCATGGCAACGAGGGGACATCTCAAAATTGCCAAAAATCACTATTTTGCGTTGATTTTTTCCATCATAATTGATTTCAAAGTGCTGCAACTTCTCAATGGATTGAGATACAGTCAAATGCTTTTCAGCGTTGGTTACACGTTACCTTATGATCAATCTGAGGTCATTTATAGCCTCTCACAAGTCCAAAATTTTCTTGGCGATGAGGGGGACTTCGCCCCCCTTCAAACCCCCCCCCCCCAAACAGAAGGGGGCACATCCCCCTTCTGGCAACCCCCTGATGTATCTTTTGGTTGGGGGGCCGCGCCGAAAAAGTGGTCACTTTTTTTTAACAACATTTCTCAAACAAAAACAAGTGTTGGGGGGCCTAAATAAGGCATTTTTTCACCATTTGAGACAACGAAAAGGGGGGGGGGGTGAAAAAGGCGTTAAAAGGCGTGTATATGAAGTAATGGGTTAACAGAAAATGATGAAAATACTTGAAATTACCCTAAATCGCGTTTTTCCATGTTTAAACATGGCCTGTCATATAAATTTGAAGAAAAATTGTTGTTTTGTAGATTTTTTTATTTTTTTTATTAACCCATTACTTCATGAGCATTTTGTGAAAAATGGCTGTTTTCATTGAAAAGTCTCCCGTTACAAGTTCAAATTGCTATAATACTATAAAAACTGCTTCAACACTAATCAAACTTGGCACAAATGTTGACTGGACCATTGCCCTTTCAACAACATGCTCAGGCTTAAATTTTCTGTTACCATGGCAACGAGGGGACATCTCAAAATTGCCAAAAATCACTATTTTGCGTTGATTTTTTCCATATAATTGATTTCAAAGTGCTGCAACTTCTCAATGGATTGAGATACAGTCAAATGCTTTTCAGCGTTGGTTACACGTTACCTTATGATCAATCTGAGGTCATTTATAGCCTCTCACAAGTCCAAAATTTTCTTGGCGATGAGGGGGACTTCGCCCCCCTTCAAACCCCCCCCCCGACAGAAGGGGGCACATCCCCCTTCTGGCAACCCCCTGATGTATCTTTTGGTTTGGGGGCCGCGCCGAAAAAGTGGTCACTTTTTTTAACAACATTTCTCAAACAAAAACAAGTGTTGGGGGCCTAAAAAAGGCATTTTTTCACCATTTGAGACAACGAAAAGGGGGGGGTGAAAAAGGCGTTAAAAGGCGTGTATATGAAGTAATGGGTTAAGGAAAGTATAACTCCCCTCCCTGGTCGGTCAAATTCCGCTACCTCTGAAAAGGCATCAGCACTGTCAAAGCCATAGTTGATGAAGATGCAAGATATGCCATGGGTGAGATAAGTCACATATCGGGCCTTAGTGCGTCATATGTGTTTTCCATATTAAAAGAAAAGTTAAGTAAAGTAAGCGCCCGTTTTAGCATTTGCTAACTTCTGACTAGGAAGTGGGTTTAAAAAAGCTTCGGCCTTATTGGCTAGGTTCAAAGATCCTAGAAGCCTAAGAGAAATTGTCACAGGGGATGAAACGTTGCTTGATATTTTTTAAGCCCGATAATAAAGTCAGTTACAAAATGTTGGTAGGTGAAAACAACGATCACCAAGTTGTTGCTCGACGTAGCGGGAAAAGAGTTATGTACGCTCCGTGTTAGTGATGGAATAGTGGCCCGTGTTGCTATGCCTGACCATGTTTTCACTGCTGTAGTTAATCACTTCATTACAAAGAACCTAAGGTTCGGGGTGCGCAGGATCAAATTCCATGATAATGCACCTGCGCACCGATCAGCCTTGGTTAAAGCTGTTCAAGAGGAGAATTGATGTTTTGCTACATTCCGCTGTGACTTTTGGTATATTCATACATCATATCTTGCATTCGGGGTCGCCGGTTCGAAAACTGTAGTGCCGTCGGAAGCGCTCTTTACAAGTGTTTAAACAATACACTCGAGGAACAGCTTGAAATTTATTTTTGGAATGGATTCCGAGATTGGAAAAGTGTGTAGAGGTCTATAAGGGAATATTTTGAAGGACTCTACTAATCATTTTTCAAAGATATTACATATTCATAAAACGCGCTCCCGTTGCCACTAATTTAAATATGCCCCTTGTAATACTTAAGCAGGTTTGATAATCAATTATTTGATAAAAACTCGTTTGCTATACATTTTTCAAATGCCTTTGTGAAATAATCTCTCCTTATGCCTAAGTCACAAAAGACAAGCGGCGTCCATTTCTCAAAAAAAAATCGGCCGTCCGTCCGTCCACCGTGGCAATCGGACGGCAGCAGCTGAAAATTTTGCTCATCGGGCGCCGTAGAGAAATATAAAATTTGTTTACACTTGAGGGTTACTAGAGCCCAACTTAGATAGGACTGAACGTATCAAATCATTCTGGAGTGCAACTAGTTGCGAAGCATTGTTCTAAATAAGAAATGACCAGCAGAGGTCAGCATTACTGCAACGCTATAAAAAATACATGTATATCAAATTCGTAATCACTTATGCACAGTATGAGTTGGCAATCCTGGTCTAAAGCAATCCGAACATCATTTGAGCCATGTCACGACAAAACCAAGATAGTGGGTTTGCGACCAGCATGGATCCAGATCAGCCTGCGCATCCGCGCAGTCTGATATCAGTTTCTCTACTTATAATAGAGTTGGTAAGCGAACAGCATGGATCCTGATCAGACTGCGCGGATGCGCAGGCTGGTCTGGACCCATGCTGGTCGCAAACCCACTATGTTGGTTTTGTCGTGATACGGCTCATTTAATTTCTTTTTAAGTCAATAATAAAAACAAAATGATATGTTCCTAATGTTTCCTTGGACAGAAGAATCATGTGATGTAAGTTTTAGAAAATTAGCACCTATGTATGGGAAATTATATATTTTGAGTGATCCAGAAGTACTTGAATGACAAGTTGTTCAGATAACCTTTGTTTTAAATGAAGGCTTTAATATTTTCAATTGAAATACTTTGTATTTACTTTACATTATTTGTCTAATGTTGTGAAATAATCAATGTTTTCTATTTTTTCTGCATCAATATACAATGTCACCATTTTGAAGAAAACAAGTGTAATCGGTGTGACAATAATGTGATGTTTAAGAAAGAAATGACACCAATAACATGCAGATTATGTCATTTGAAAGGACTTGAAAATAACGTTTTCATAAGATTATTCTGATTGCCTAGACTAATTGTACGACAATTAATGTCTTCAATATTTTATGACAACTGTTGAAATTTTATAAGCCCGATCATTCCTGAAAAATGTTGTAACAATTTGTACTGCATTAATGGAATTATTTTAGCACAAGTTGAATTGAAGTTTTTCTTGGTTTGGCTTTTTTAGTGGCAGACAAAGCTGTCCTCGAAATTACAAAAATTAGTTTGCATAAAATCAAATGCGAACTGCTTTTCTTCAAACTCGGCATCATAACTTCCCAAACAATGTTAATCTTACATGATAGCGCGTTTATAGCATATTTAATAGTAATATTAAGCATACAGTTATGTAGTCAACATACAATTTAAAGAAAAGGCGTATCTGGACAACCGTTTTGTAAACTTCCATTTTAAATTTAAATTGCATTTTACGAACGTACTTATTACAAAACCATTTAAGAGACTTTTAAAAACCTTGCGTTTGACAGTAAGTTTTCAATAATATCAGGTAATTATATCTAATATATTTATAGTGAATATTTGTCTTGATGATATGTAGTCATTTATTGAAACCATTTTAAAAATTCTTATACAATTTCTTGGTGGAAAGCTTTACTGTACAGCAACGAAAGGGAAGTTTGGTCTGCAGGACTTACCCTATATGTACTAAAACTGTTCTTAGATTTTAGCCAGTTAACGTGTCATTAATGATGAATCAGCCAAGCTCCAAATCTTCTGCTGGTGCCCCGTAGCTTCTCGACGACGTGAACGTACCTATGCGAACATATAACTGTACAATACGGGGACATATATGTGGACTATTACATTGCTAAAGAAACGATGTTGAAAGAGACACCAATCGGGTCCAGTATGATCTTTACACTGTATGAGTATTATTATTATTTATCCAAATCATATTGTGGAAACGCCAGAAAGAATGGGATAAGATGGATGACTGATAATGACTGATATAAATTGCTTGTAATTAAATATGATTTATTTCGAAAACATATACTTTTTTGCACAAGACAAAACATATTTCATTCTTCACTGAACACTGAGTTTACATTTTTTAAATATAATTCCATATTTTTGTTAGTATAATTTCTTATGAATCAATGAATCAATCGAAAACTCCATATACAACGATGAATACTTGGATGAACAATATTTCTCTACAGGAAGAAGACCTTGAAGCCTTGTCTGATAATGGTGTGCCCATTTTGCCGGTATGTAACTCTCTCATGGTTTTCCTTGGATCCATAGAGGATGTTGATTGATTATCATTCGAACATAATTTGATTGGACATGGCATGTATAAACTCCTGTTCGCCGCATTATCTCTTGCAAAACATCCAATGGTACCGAAGTCTAAAATGATACAAAAAATACTCAATTACTAGTAGTTTCACAGTATAAAAGCATTTAATTGGAAATGAGCACAAAAGCACGCTGTCATACTTAGTCTAGCTTAAAGCTTAAGCTAGTACCACGCCTGAGCTAGAAGACAGGGATGCTTATACATCATACTTTTCGTCTGTAAGAAATTACAGCGTTTAAGGTCTTGCAAAATTGATAATGACAAAAGACTTCATCACCATTAAACGTGACACAAATGTTTAAAGCAACAAATGTTTACAGCAACAAATATTGAAAAAATCAAATACACATTCTATATTAAGCAATTATGAACATACACAAAAGTACAAGGACAAAATTGTTACATATAAATTTTCGTGCTCGAAAAGCGATCACTATACATGAAATGGTTCGGAATTATGGCGGGAAAACAAACGGTATCAGTGCTATAGTAACACCGTACAAATTTTCACAGCCAAAGAACATAAAATAGAAGATACCTTCGCTTACATTTAATTCGGCTCTTACATTTTATAACAGGACCTTACAACGATATCTATTGATTATCTAATAGTGTACTATAATTTTATCTTATTACTCATCAAAGCGCGTTCAACGCAATGGTCAGTCGAACTTGTATTATTAAGCTTGCATTTTTGCAATCTCTACCGGTTTGCAATCTCTACCGGTTTGCAATCTCTACCGGTATAACGAAAATTTTATTAATGTACTGTCTTATCAAAGAAGTATACTTACAATATCCTGTTTTACCATAAAACGTGAATAAATTCCTGAATAAATTTGATATCAACCTGTATAGTCAAATATGTATATGCATATAGTGTTATTAAATTTACATCTTTTTATCTGTATACTAACATCTATATCAGTATCTTTATATTTACAGTATTTTTTATCTTTATATCTGTAGACTTATATTTCTATTTTATGTGTGTGTGCTTACTTCCTTTATAATCATCTTTATATCTATATACTTACAATCTTTATCTCTATCTTTATATCTATATACTTACAATCTTTATCTCTATCTTTATATCTTTATACTTACAATCTTTATCTCTGTTTTTATATCTTTATTTTTACAACCTTTATATCTGACTCATTACCTATATACTTACAATCTTTATCTCTATCTTTATATCTATATACTTACAATCTTTATCTCTGTTTTATATCTTTATTTTTACAATCTTAATGTCTGACTCCATACCTCCATACCATACCAATCTTTATCTCTATCTTTATATCTATATACTTACAATCTTTATCTCTGTTTTTATATCTTTATTTTTACAATCTTTATCTCTATCTTTATATCTATATACTTACAATCTTTATCTCTGTCTTTATATCTTTATTTTTACAATCTTTATCTCTGTTTTTATATCTTTATTTTTACAATCTTTATCTCTGACTCAATACCTATATACTTACAATCTTTATCTCTGTCTTTATTTCTATATACTTTACAATCTTTATCTCTGTCTTATATATATATATATATATATATATATATATATAGTATATATATATATATATATATATATATATATATATATATATATATATATATATATATACTTACAATCTTTATCCCTATCTCTATATCTATATTTTTACAATCATTATCTCTGTCTTTTTATCTATATGCTTACAATCTTTATGTCTATCTTTATATCTATATACATTTTACTTACAACATGTATCTCAGTCAGTATATCTATTTATTTACAATCTCTATAAGTACATAAATTAATGTATACTTACAGCCTCTACACGTGAGCTATCTCTTCTAATAATTACATGTGTATACTTACAATATCGACAGAAATTTTCCATTGCAGGAATGTCAGTATTAGGCAAAAATATATCCTGATCTTCCCATCGTTTACAAAGATGACCGGACGACGAATGTGACCATGTGCCACGATAGCTTCTAGGATCTTCTTCATAGCATCCTTTGAAGACAAAATACCCCGGTACAAGACAATGAAATATTCAATGACTGTCGGTGTATTTTTGAAAAATAGTTTTGTAACATTTTACGAATTATGTTACATTTTAACAAGGCAGTCTGAAGGACAGCTAAACCCCCTTCCGCAGCGGGCATACTTATACTTCTTGACCTTTAACCAACCATGACCTTGATATTGTGCAATGCACATCATAAGCACATTTGCTCATCACAAAAGCCCGTTTTAGTTATTGACCAATTATCTTCCATATCTAGAAGGTAGATACCTTTGTAGATCCACTTATTTTGTTTGAATTTTTAGATTAAGGTCTTGGTAACCTAGATAGTTTGAGACTTCATATATTAACAAGTTTCTCACATATTTGGTTATTTCATGCTTAAGACAAAATGTTGTTCAGTGAGCTTTAGTAATGTACTGTTTTAACTTATAATAATTTGATTGTGACTCTGGTGTATTATTTGTTATAGTTTTCCAAGTTTTACAAATCATTCAGGTGAAAATTACACGACTTCTGGTTATGTTATAACCTTGACCTTGGGGATAAGCTGTTGACCTCTGTAGGACTGGTGATGATTGTGATCATTTGTGCCAATATGATTAAATAATTTCCGAAGTTAAAATCTATGAAGAGAACAAAAAAAAATTGAACATTTGACCTAGACCTTTGGCTAGCAACCTTAATATTGCTCTCCACACATCAGGTCATTATGGTGAACATTTGTTTAAAGTCATTTTACGAACTTTTAAGTAGTTTAAAAGTTAAGGAGCGGACAGGAAAATGTGGACTTTATCATTTGACTTTTAGGTGTAACCTTGACTTTGGCGGTAGCAACCTGTATGTTGTGCATTTCAAATTGTGTCATGGTGGAGATCATTATTGCCATGTTATCTCAAAAACTTTGAATTGTCAATAAATTATAAAGCGGACTTGCAAAAAAGATGTTTTAATATTGGACTTTTGAGTGTGGCCCTGACCTTGGGGGTAGTGCGTTTATTGTTCTGCTCTGCACATGGTGCAATAAAGGTGATAATTTCTGCCAAGTTATCTTTAAAAAAACATGACAGTGGTTTAAATTTTATGGAGCGGTCACAAAATGTAGACTTTAAACACTCGACCTTTAAGTGTGGCCTTGACCTTTGGGATATCAACACAATTATTGCGCTCTGCTTATAATGGTGATCACTTGTGCAAAGTTATTTAAGAAAATCACCGGCACGAAATGTAGACTTTTGAACACTTGACTTTTAAGTGTGACATTGACCTTGGGGGTAGCAACCCAAAATGTTATGACGGTAAGACGATAGACGGATTAAGAAACTGACGAACGGAGAGACTGACAGATGAAGGCCATTCGTATAATTCTAATATTAAATTTTAAAACCTTTGAATTGCCAATAAGTTATAGCGGGGACATGATATAGATATAAAATAGATGTTTTAACATTAAACCTTTGAGAGCGACCTCGACCATGAGGGTGGTGACTTGATTGTTGTGCTCTGCACATGATGCCATAATGGTGACAATTTCTGCCAAGCTATCTTAAAAACATTGCAGCGGACACGAAATGTAGACTCCTTAACACTTGACCTTTTAGTGTGACTTTGACTTTGGGGGTAGCAACCCAATTATTGCATTCTGCACATTATGGTGATCTCTTTTGCCAGGTTATTTAAAAATTCAGCGTTTTAAAACTTAAGGAGCCAGACATAAACAAACGTTAAGTAATCACAAATTTATGCGTCACGACACCTGATGACAACCATTCTGTTAGAGTTTGAAAGAAATTTGTAAGCAAATCAGCCACCCGTCAATATCAACAATCTCATACGCAACTTTTTGTAAGACAACCTGGTTAAAACACAAACTGTTCATCAGCAGATATGAAAGAGAGCAAGAAAAAAGAGTCATCATTGTTACAATAGTAACTAAGGCATAGGAATAAATAGGAGTAAACGCACCTACTCTTTGGCAGCACTTGCAACCTTGACATCCTAGAACTTCCTCACTTGTTGAATTGATATAAGACTTATCTGTGAGAGACTCACACACTTGCTTCTCTGTTGCATTACCCGGTAGTCCGACACTTATTCTGTCCTTTAATGTGATGTTGTAACAAGAATGCGGGTATTCTGATATTATAAAACAGGTTATGCATTGATACACAGTTTTACACAGCAAATAATTACAAATATTAATTAATTAATTAAAAAAAAAATGAAAAAAATGTCCCGGTAGCAAGAGTAACATCTTTATTAAATATACAATAAACGAAAACACAAATTCCTTTATTCCTAGTAAAATCTTCACATAATTAAAACACAAATTAGACATTGACATTTAATTTTACACTACAAACTTTGACAAACACTATTTTCGGCTTTGCCGATTGATCTTCCCATCCCAACTTTGAAGAAATTCTCATATGCGCACAATTCTCCAATCTCCTCGTGGTAGGTTTTCTTTAAAAAGAACTACATCTCCAATTGTAGCATTATATGAAAATAGTGTTTTCTATGATTTCAGTTCTGACTGCATACGTTCCCGAAGGTTGATCGAGTTTCGCCTCTTTAAATTCTCCCAAATTCGTTTAAAACATTTTGTCCTTTTTCCATACTGTCAGTTATTTATCACTTGTATTTTAATGTTGTGAAAAATTACTATTGTTGCCATACTATTTCGGAATGCCAATTTTCGGATTAAAGCTGCATGCCTCCAGATGAGCGAAAATATTTCAATAAAATCAAATTTTAGAAAAATGTACTAAGATTTTAGGAAAAGTAAACATATTCAAGATTCAAGTAATAATTTACATGTTATGTGCAATTAATGACTGATTTTTCAGCATTTATTACTATATTTCTACTGCGTTACTAACGCAGTAAGGGCAATTTTTGCATATTTTGTCCTCTTTATCGTAATTTACGTGGGCTGTAAGTGCAATTGATAATTTGTAAATTGCTTTGTTTTGGTTATTTCACTAAATAATACTTTTAAACACATTTTCGTGATTAAATTATATATAGATTTTACTTAGAATAACGGAATTTATGTTTAGTGTTTATTGAATGTTTAGTAAAGGTCTTTTTACAATGAGGATTTATTTTGAAAATAGGCGTTTGATATGTGCACGTTATTTCATTAATTATTATTCATAAATATTTTTTTAAAATTGTAAGGAAATGAATATTTTCTATTGTCTTCACCTGTGATATATTGCAATAGTCAGTATTCTTACGAGAGAAACTTGATACGTCACACGAATGAAGTTCACTTAAAAAAGTAAACATTGTGTTCGGGAGTTCAGTACAAAAAGTTACATGACTTAATGTTTGAAAACTGTACGCAATTGGTTAACGATGATATGGCTATTTCAATAGCAATATTCAGTTTGACCGGAGTTAGCATACATGAAAAGGAATCAAGATATTTTGAAGATGTTTGTTCAGACGAGGCGTCACAAGATAGAACGACGGCATTAAATGTAAATGATGTTTGTAGAAGTGAAGAAAGTGAAGTGGTTCACGAAAAAAGAAACAAAGTTATGATACTGAATCTAGAAATGATTAAGATATTGTTAAAAAAATGACAGCGTTTCAAGTACTTATGAAAATGAAAAGGTTGATGGAATGAAAATAAATAAGGAAATCATGACAGATTGAATATGGAATGAAGACAATGACTTATAAGTAAAAACAGGAGACATAGACAAATTATATAACACATTCTACTCTAGATATTCAAACTGTGAGCAATTAATGATGACAATTGCGTAAGCATAATGTTAGAGAAAAATTTAGTTGATGATGATAATGATGATGAAAAATTGCTTAAAGAGGAGAACACAGTTCAAGGTAAAATAGAGAAAACTAAGAAAATAAATAATGAAGATAAAAATAATGATACCAAATTAGATGAGGAAAGATGTGATATATAACTGAATTATGAAAATGTTGAAAATGATATTTCTGGCGACGATCAAGTAGCGAAAATTTCTTGTTACTAAACACCAAAAAGACAAATCCACGTCTTCTATGGTCCATCTTTTGTTTTAATGTAGAATGGTCCGGAGTAATCAGGTCCAATTTTAGAAAAGGGTACTGATTCTTGTACTCTAGAGGAATGAATGGTATAAACGATGACATCTTATATGGTCCACCTTCGTAATAACAACAACTTTTACACTTTCATAAAACCGGTTTCACAACAGAAAGTCCCGGTGAAATCTAGAATTTTAAACGCACTTGAGAAAGTGTCTTAAAACACTTAATGTAAATAATTTAATTTCCTCTTCTTTTTCTTTCTTCAACTTTAATGCGTTTGCTTAACATTTATGGATGGTACCGGATTTTGCAAGTTATTATTTGCGCCACTAGCACCGGCTTGAGCAAAATTCAACATTTTAACTTGGTAATGGTGAAATTTTGCATTGAGAAACATCCTCAGATTTGTTCATAAGGCGGTTATTATGGAATCTTCGATGAGTCACAGAAGTGTCATTCCATAAAAAGCGGCGTATGGTCCCGAAGTAAAAGAATGTGTGCACCCTGAACGGGAAAACAATTAGCGAAACTTTTAAAATAGGGAATTTTGAAAGGAGATCAAAGATTATGAAATAGTGAAATACAGAAACCCAGAAAATACAGAAATACAGAAAAGACTTCATATCACAGCTAAGCTGATAAGTTGAAGAAAAATTAAAAAGCCGACCACATATTCTTAGGGTGATTAAACAATATTCAGTATTGGGTTTGCATTTCTATGTTTATTTAATTTCTTTTTATTTGATATTTTCCATCACCCATAGGATATTTTGCCTGTTTTGTTTGCGACGGACGCGCCCTCAGGCGCGTTCAGAGCTATGCCATCTACACATGGGATTTCGTCGGCTACAATCGCGCAAGTGTCCTCAACCGAATAACAGCCCAAGAAATAGTACATGAATTTGATCCTATGAAACTCCCATACTTTGTCGGGATATCTTAAAAACTTCCATATTTAGCCTTTTCAATTTCAAATTAAGATATCCAATTTAAAATATGAACGTATTTGATTTGATAAAAACGCTGTAGCCCCGTAGTATTATTGCGCAATATGCAAATAACTGCTGAAACGATTTACCGCTGTCGAAAAAGTAGGACAGCAAATTATGCTATAATTAAGGAGTAATCTCAATAATTCATAGAAATTATAGTAGGAAATAAAAGTTCTTCATTAAACAAAACATTTTTATTAACAGATCAGTTTTTCGTGACTCTATAATAAATCGCGCATTGATAAAAGAAGAACTCTTTTCGTGACTCATACCGCGGGTTCAGCTGAATATCCAGCAGTAATTAATAAATTAGACTACAGTACAATGGTTTGTACTATAAATATCTATTTTTGAAAATGCATGTAACAAGAGAGTTTTTCAACACTTTACCACCATGTAGTCTTTCATGGTAATCTTTATTGAAGGAAGTTATAATATCAGTTGTACTTCCGATTCTTGTGTTTTGTTTACATAATTTTCTAGGTCACGATATGACCTGAAGATAACACTATTCTAAAAATAGATTCTGCATCACCTGTGCTGACTTTCGGACGAGTACACATTATACATGTAATAAACCAGCGGATACTTACTTTGTTTACTTCAAGCATAATACATAATACATGTGAAAATGTTAATTAGAATTGCTTCGTGTTATATCATCGTATATAGACAATAAAATTCCATTTTTAACTTGTTTACTTCTTACAATAATTGTATAGAATTTCTTAAAGTATTGCATGTAACAAAGTAAGGGTTTTAGTCACGTGATCGATTTTGAATGGACGCGGTTTTTCTTTCGTTGAAAATTTTTGTCAAATATTTGGATATTTTAGTGTCAAAATACAACTTTAGATATAATATTATTGAAGTAAAAGATGGTATATTATTATTTATATTTTAAAACGTCAAATGGGAAATAGAAAAGGGAATAAATCGGATAAAAAGCGTAAACATAGCAGTGACAATACGGGTGGGGAACAGGTAAAAAATCCTAGACATGGCCGGACGCCCCCGGATAAATTTGACTGTAATACTAGTTTGGCAGAAACTTTACATAACGCTAATAGCGTGTTGTTTGATAATTTGTTATCACTGGATAGTACGGTGTTTGTGTCGGAATCATTATCTGAAACTGACAATTATTCCTTAATCATGGACCCTAAACAAGCTTCTTCAAGTGACCCGCCCCCTAATTCAACACCTCTGTTGACATCAGTGCCCCCGCTCCCTATTCCGGCGGATATTTCTACCAGCACTGACACACATACGGATGCTATCATTGAATATTTGCGAAGAATAGAGCTGAAGCTTAATCATGTTGACCAGCGTCTCAATACCTTGGACATACTTGAGCAAAAGGTGAGCAGTTTTGAGATCGACCTTAAAAAATTATGGACTTTTGTACATGATAGTAACCAAAAAATGGAGGACAGGGTATCTAAAATTGACTCGAGGGTAGATAGTCTTGAATTTGCTCTTGGTCAGGCACAGAGCGAATTGGATCAAATGCATCAAACTGAAGCTCAGGTCAAGGACGATTTAGTGTATGTCAAGTCACAAAGCATGCGTAACAATTTAAATTATGGTAATATTCCTGAACCTAAGCAAGAAACGTGGGAAAATAGTGAGCAAACTTTACGTCGATTCTTTGCTGACCATTTGAACATCGCTCAGCAGTTAGCGGACAATTTACAGTTCGAACGTGTCCATCGCATGGGAGATTATAATCAACGTAGCGGTAATCCACGCAAAATAGTTGCCAAATTTGCCTTCTACAAAGATAGAGAAATGGTGCGTCGCCTCAGAACCAAGCTTAATGACACAAAGTTTTATCTTCACGAGCAATTTCCACCGGAAATTGTAGCACGGAGAAAATCACTCTTACCGAAACTTAAAAATGCCAAAAACAAGGTCGTCAAGATTGGTTAGCCTACGACACGCTTTTTATTGACGGGGTACCAGTAAGCGATAAAGAGTCCGACAGAAGCCAGATGCAGAACGGGAACCGGAAGTAGGGACTCGATGAGGCTGGACTGTCCATATTATCATGGAATGTAAATGGACTTAGTAGATCTAAATTAGAGGACAATGATT